ACTTGTGCAATAGTGCGGCAAGTCCAGACACAAATGGACCGATTGTTGGTCAAAGGAACCTACTGTTGTCCGAGTGGCAGCAGTGAGAGTACAAAAGCGGAAAAGAGGGAAGGGTAATTCCAACTCTCAAAAGAAGGCTAAAGTGGCTGCTGTAGTAGCAGAGGATCCACTTGTTGTACTCCCGGAGGTTACAGAAGATTTTGTTGTTCAGCCTGAGCAAGACTCGGACAATGAAATCATCTGGTAGAAAGGTGTCTGTTTGAGTCTATGTTTACTAGTTTTCTTTTATATGGGTCTTTCGGTTTCTATGTTTCTCTTGAATAAATTATGATTGTGTTTCTGCCTATTTGATTGCTTCAAGCAATCTGAGGATGGGTTTAAGACCCGAAACAGCTGGTCTGTCAGTGCTCTACCAAAGTTACATTTGCTACGAAGACACTTTCAAACCGCTACCAAAAACTACTACACATCATATCTGCTATAACTTCGCTTGGGAATAGAACCAAAGGATGCTTTGATCTTAGTAGTGCCCGAAGCTATTAGCTATGTTGAAAAGACAAAGAGAAACGAGTTCAGAACCCGCTGTTAAGCAAAGAAGGTTGGAACAGAGGCTTCCCTCCTTACCAGTACATGGAAAAAGACCTATATTGAAGGCAGGACTGTCATGGACGGTCAAAGGAAGGGATGAAGGCGCCCAAGGGTCTTTCCTGTTTGACACCGGTTGTACAGGAGCTATCCTCAACCAGAGTTTTGTCAGGAAACATGGAATTCCCTTAGTGCGGCGGGATCAACCTCTGACAATGTTTGATGCTCAAGGAGATGTCATGATGGGAGGAGGCGAGTATTACACTCACCCGGTCCGCATGACTATGGGAGATCATAAGGAGACACTCCGATGGGAAGTGGCTAGTTTGGAAGAAGGAATGACCGGTTACCTGCCAATTAGTTGGGCTAGGAAGCATAACCCGGATATCAATTGTGAACTCAACACCATGAGCTGGAGGAGTGACTACTGCAAGCAGAATTGTCTCCCAGCGGCCACCAAGATTGAACTGATCTCTCCATACCAGATGCTGGAAGAAGAAGAGACAGTCTATCAATTGGTTGGTTCAGTATGGCATGATGAGGACGGAGGTGATATTTCTGAGAAAATACACCACCTATACCGGGAATGGGCTGATGTGTTCAGTCAAGAGAAAATTGGGGAAATGCCGTCGCATTCCCATAATGATTTGAAAATCAAACTCTTGCCTGCCACCGCTCCCCCATTTGGCCCGCTATACCCTTGTTCCGCTCCAGAGTTGAAGGCCCTCCGAGAGTACCTGGACAAAGAATTGGCCTCAGGAAAGATCTCTAGATCTAATAGCCCCGCTGCGGCGCCCATATTGTTCATTCCTAAGAAGGATGGGACATTGCGGATTTGTGTGGATTACAGAGGTTTGAACAAGGTCACTGTCAAGGACAAGTACCCGCTGCCTATCATGAGTGAGCTCAGAGACAGGTTGTTCAAGGCCAAGCTCTTCACAAAGATAGACCTGAAGAACGGCTTCAATTTGATCAGGATAGCCGAAGGTGATGAGTGGAAAACCGCTTTCAGAACCCGCTATGGACTGTATCAGTATAATGTGATGCCTGTTACGGGCGGCATGCCAAGCATTTACGAGAAAAAGGCTAGTAGATACCCCAATACCCTCTGCACGCTAACGTCAACTCTGGACCACACCCGCGGGGTGTGGTGCGACCAATATACGACCAAAACACGGAGTCATAAAAAACACGTTTTCGACCCCAATAATAACCCCCGGAGCGTCAAACCGCCGGAGGGGAGTGCGTTGGTACCGGTGGATATATGAGGGACAGCTGGAAGCAATCGGATCGAAGATCGGATCACTCGGAGCGAATCGGCGCAAGCCACCAGCCGACCGAGTACCTATCGGCTGTACCTATGGGCATGAGAGGACTCTGCTATGTGGGAAAGCGATGTGGGAAGAGGCCTGAGTAGGTAGCCTTGCCGTCCGAGACCTACGAGTAGCCGACGCTGACGATTATCCACCAGACGGCCGATGGAGAGGAAACATCGACAGGGAAACGTGCATTAGAGTGGGTAAATAGGTTGAGGGGTTTTCAGCGGGGTTAGGAGTTTGGGTTACGGACTTAGGAGTTAAATGTTCTTGGTTGTTTTTCAGGGTCTCGGGCAGGCCCCGAGTGTATTCTGTATTATTAGTAGACTGGGTCCTCGAGACATAAGCGAGGGATATAAATACAGTGTCATTCACTGACTAGCCAAAGCATTTATCGGCGAAATCAGAGTCTTAACAATATAAATCGTTGATACGCGAGTTACAACTTTATTTGACTATACTTTTGAAATTACTTTACTCTATCGTGACTTCGAACTCTACCTGAACTATTACGTCGAAGACGGTCGAATATTATACGCTAACTCTAGTGAATCTTTGTTGATAACGTAGCTCGCGGGGCCCGTATCGGATCAGGGAGATTCATACTCGACGTTGACTGAAGAGACCTTGGAGACTTCTACCTTTGTAGCTGTTAGCCGAACTCTGAGCTCTGCGTAGTGTACTCTTGTGATCTGGTACGCATCCCTCACAGATATCAACTCTATTCCGAGATGCATACAGCGGACTGGTGGTAGAATATGCAGGAAAGACTTCCTACCGGGGCCACGATTGTCCCGATTATCTGCAGCTCCGACGTCACGCATCTGACAAACTTCTCTGGAGACAAGAAGACCTGGCCGATATATATGACGATAGGCAATATACCGGGAAAAGTACGATCCAAGCTGTCGACCAACGCGCATTTGCTACTCGCACTATTGCCAATACCTCCTAAGATAATTGGCGACGTGACGTCAAAGGGGAGACTCCGGTCCTGGGCGGCGGAGACGCTGAGGAGAGTCATGTCAGTTATACTGGAGCCTCTGCTGCACTTTGACCAAAGGCTCGGCATCTTAATGGGCTGCTCAGACGGGTACTAGAGACGTTGTTGGCCGATTCTGACGGCATGGCTTTCGGACCACATGGAGAGCTGCAATATTCTGAATACCAAGTTCAACTTGTACCCCAAGTGCGAGATACCCGTCAATAGACTGGGCGAATACGAAGCTGAACCGCTCAAGACCTACCCTCGTTATCAGGACGAATACAAGAGAATGTATCGTCAGTACAGGGCGCTGAAGGTACTGGAGAATCCGACGAGAGACGAAAGGCGGGAGCTGAAGACGCTGACCAAGTGGTTCGATTCTCGTGGTTTACGACCTCTGTACAACCCTTTCTGGAATCTCCTCTTCGTCCAAACCTACGACCTCCATAAGCCAGACATGCTGCATGTTGTATACTTGGGAATCCTGAAACATCTTATGGAGTGGCTGGAAGACTTCCTGAAGGAACATGGTCGTTTGGATGAATTCAAGGCCATATGGACGCGCATGCCACCTTACCCTGGATTTACCCCACCGACGAAGCTTTATCAAGCGGTCAGTCAATGGCAAGGGAAGGAGATGCGTAATTTTCAGAAAATAATCTTACCAGCCCTGGCGTCTGCCCTCAGGAATCCGTCATCTGCCCAGGCAGAGCCATTCAAGAAAGCCTTTCAATGCGTCCGGGCATTGGTCGACTGGGCACTAGTCGCCCAGCATCGTTCTCATAACGAGCTGACGATAGACATGTTGGATAGTTACCTAAAGGCTTTCCATAGGACGAAGGATATCTTCAGGAAATATCGCTCGACTAGAGAGACTGACAGACTTGTGGCGGAACGACGGAGGGAATTGCGCGGGGAATACGACGTCGAGTTAGCAGGCCTAAACGACTCTTTAGGCCAAAGACGAAGGGTTATCGCAGACCAAAGGCTAAATCTCCAGGCGGAAACCGACGAGATCTTGCGAGCAGAATCCCACTTCAACTTCCCCAAGATACACCTCATGGGCCATTTCGCAGAGCACATTCGTCAATACGGCAATATTCCGGACTATTCGACGGAGTCTTGCGAGTCAGCCCACAGGGATCAGATCAAAATACCGTATCGTCGGAGCAATCGCGTCGATCCCGCAATGCAGATACTTCGGACGTTTAACCGTGATTATACGTTTTCCATTTGCGAATTAAATCTTCTACAAATTGCCCGGGGCGGTTTTTCGACCACTGAGCTTGTCGGCAATCTCGACGTCTTAGAGCTACGTCTGAGGAGGAGGATGCAAGCTGCAAGACGGGATCTTAGAGACCCTCAGGACGACCCGGCGTTTCAAGCGCAGGATATCGCGCCATTGGTCTATTTACCAAGCGACACCAGGGTGGAGAAGAGGTGGGTCAAGTGCCCGGTCAAATTAACAAATGTCGGTAGTGTAGATATCGCAGGTGCTACAAAGAGACTGGGGTATTACATCCGGCGGTATTTCAGGAGGGAGCTATGTCTTGGATACGAAGATATGCCCGAAGACATCGATAGCTGGTGGGTAAACACATTCAAACAGCTCAATGTACCGGTTCCTTTGCACGGCGAGGGCGACGAGAGGACAATTCACACACTTCGTACGCCGGGAACGTCAGGTTATAGACGGGGAAACGCGCGCAACGACTGGGTCTGGTTTCGTCAAAAGCCGGCTGACCTGGACGCTTTGCAGGGTTTATGCCCAGCAAGACTGCTTGCGGTCTTTAAGCTCAGGGACCCAAGACGAAGGAGGGCCAGACTTCTGGCTGCGATACAACCATTGAAGCCGGGCTTCAATGGACACCCCAACGTCGACCACGGGCTAATAAGGGTATCATGCTGCTCAAGCTCTCTTGACGATATATGGGTAGTAAAAATAAAAAGCATTTTGGGCGCCGCTCATTTGGTGCCTGAGATGACGTCATCTATGAACAATAGATGGTTTATTAATAGTACGATCGATCTATCGAGATGCGGATTAATTTACTGAAGTAAGACGGGACGTTGGACTGAGTTTTTTATAATGATACTGACGACATGAACACCAGACAAGAGAATTTAGACAGGTGGACTTCTGACGATAGGTTTTGCGCAGGTGTGAGGGATGCGTACCAGACCACAAGAATACACTACGCAGAGCTCAGAGTTCGGCTAACAGCTACAAAGGTAGAAGTCTCCAAGGTCTCTTCAGTCAACGTCGAGTATGAATCTCCCTGATCCGATATGGGCCCCGCGAGCTACGTTATCAACAAAGATCCACTAGAGTTAGCGGATGGTATTCGACCGTCTTCAACGTGATAGTTCAGGTAGAGTACGAAGTCACGATAGAGTAAAGTATAAAGAATAATATAGTCAAATAAAGTTGTAACTCGCGTATCAACGATTTATATTGTGAAGACTCTGATTTCGCCGATGATGGTTTGGCTAGTCAGTGAATGACACAGTATTTATATCCCTCGCTTATGTCTCGAGGACCCAGTCTACTAATAATACAGAATACACTCGGGGTCTGCCCGAGACCCTGAAAAACAACCAAGAACATTTAACTCCTAAGTCCGTAACCCAAACTCCTAAACCCGCTGAAACCCTTCAACCTATTTACCCACTCTAATGCACGCTTCCCTGTCGATGTTTCCTCTCCATCGGCCGTCTGGTGGGTAATCGTCAGCGTCGGCTACTCGTAGGTCTCGGACGGCAAAGCTACCTACTCAGGCCTCTTCCCACATCGCTTTCCCACATAGCAGAGTCCTCTCATGCCCATAGGTACCGCCGATAGGTACTCGGTCGGCTGGTGGCTTGCGCCGATTCGCTCCGAGTGATCCGATCTTCGATCCGATTGCTTCCAGCTGTCCCTCATATATCCACCGGTACCAAAGCACTCCCCTCCGGCGGTTTGACGCTCCGGGGGTTATTATTGGGGTCGAAAACGTGTTTTTTATGACTCCGTGTTTTGGGCGTATATTGGTCGCACCACACCCCGCGGGTGCGGTCCAGAGTTGACGTTAGCGTGCAGAGGGTATTGGGGTATCTACTAGCCTTTTTATAAATGCTTGGCATGCCCGTAACAGCTTACCCCCCTTCCAGGGTGTCACGTCTCGGGACATCTTCTGACAGACTATGGTTCCAGTAAACCTGCCCCACATATCACCCGCGGTGTCTGTGGAGGGGAAGGACTTAGCCCCGTAGGGTACCTCTATAGTCTCAGGCGTTGGTCCTTCACGGCCTTGGGGTTCCTTCGATGAAAGTCGCGAACTAGGTCAAGTACCTCCTCTGTTACGGGCATGCCAAGTATTTACGGGAGTGAGAGAAAAGGCTAGTAGATACCCCAATACCCTCTGTACGCTAATATCAACTCTTGACCACACTCGCGAAAGTTTGGTGCGACCAAATTACGACCAAAAACCCAGAGTCATAAAAAACACGTTTTCGACCCCAATAATAACCCCCGGAGCGTCAAACCGCCGGAGGGGAGTGTTTTGGTACCGGTGGATATATGAGGGACAGCTGGAATCAATCGGATCGAAGATCGGACCGCTCGGAGCGAATCGGCGCAAGCTGCCAGCCGACCGAGTACCTATCGGCGGTACCTGTGGGCATGAGAGGACTCTGCTATGTGGGAAAGCGATGTGGGAAGAGGCCTGAGTAGGTAGCCTTGCCGTCCGAGACCTCCGAATAGCCGACGCTGACGATTATCCACCAGACGGCCGATGGAGAAGAAACATCGACAGGGAAACGTGCATTAGAGTGGATAAATAGGTTAAGGGGTTTTAGTGGATTTAGGAGTTTGGGTTACGGACTTAGGAGTTAAATGTTCTTGGTTGTTTTTCAGGGTCTCGGGCATGCCCCGAGTGTATTCTGTATTATTAGTAGACTGGGTCCTCGAGACATAAGCGAGGGATATAAATACTGTGTCATTCACTGACTAGCCAAACCATTATCGGCGAAATCAGAGTCTTAACAATATAAATCGTTGATACGCGAGTTACAACTTTATTTGACTATACTTTCGGAAATACTTTATTCTATCGTGACTTCGAACTCTACCTGAACTATTACGTCGAAGACGGTCGAATACCACCGCTAACTCTAGTGAATCTTTGTTGATAACGTAGCTCGCGGGGCCGTATCGGATCAAGGGGAATCATACTCGACGTTGACTGAAGAGACCTTGGAGACTTCTACCTTTGTAGCTGTTAGCCGAACTCTGAGCTCTGCGTAGTGTACTCTTGTGGTCTGGTACGCATCCCTCACATCCTCATTCATAGTGTCTATGACTTGATACGTGCAGTCGCTCATCGAATAGCCCCGCCATTTCACCAGGTATTCCACTAATCCTCTCCTACTTTTCCGGCTTCCCACAATACTTTCCACTTCATACAGGACTTCTCCTTCCTTATCGACGTTTTCGGGAGTTGGGGGACGTTGTTCACGGCCTGGGATACTGCTCTGTCTGTAACGTTCCAAGAGTTCAATATGGAAAACGTTGTGGATTTTGACTTGCGGTGGCAGTTCCAATTCGCAGGCTCGTTTACCGGCTAGTCGGACAATTTTAAATGGGCCGAGTTTCTTATGATCGAGTTTCTTGGTAGAACGTCGTGTCTTGATGTTGGTCGCGTTGAGCATAACCATGTCTCCCATCTTGAAGTTAGGCGGTTCATCCCTTTTCCGATCATAGTATTTCCCCATCTTCTCCCTGGTGTCTGTTAAGCGAGCGAGAGCAGAATCATGAACTCCTCGAATGAAGTGAGCGTACAGGTCACTGGTTGGGTTGACCACTTCGGCTTCTGTCGGCCAGTTGGTTCTTGGGTTGTAACCGTAATTGGTATAGAACGGAGATTGACCCGTGGCGGTGGTAACCGAGTTGTTGTAAGCATACTCCGCCAATGGGAGTAGCTCTGCCCAATCATCTTGCTCGTAGTTGCAGAATGCTCGTAGATAATGCTCGAGGGTTTGGTTGACTCGCTCTGTTTGCCCATCGGTCTGAGGGTGGAAAGCCGTACTCATTCTTATCCTCACGTCCAATAATTCCATAAGGGATGCCCAAAAGCTTGAAGTAAACTTGGCGTCCCTGTCGGAAACTATATCAAGAGGCAGCCCATGGAGTCGCCAGATTTGACCGAGGAATATCTTCGCTAGATCCTGCGCGGTCGTTTCTGCTACTAGGGGGATAAAATGCGACATCTTCGAGAACCTATCGACTACTACCCAAATTTGATTGTATCCCTTTGATTCCGGTAACTGCACGATGAAGTCCATCGATATCGATTGCCAGACAGAATGTGGCGTGGACAGTGGTAGAAGCGCACCGTATTTCTTGTGGCGGCTGGGTTTGTTGCGCTGGCACTCATCACATGACCGAACGTAATCATCAATCCACTCGTTCATTTTTGGCCAATAGAAGTTGCGCGTAATAAGTTCCAAAGTTTTGTCTTGTCCAAAGTGTCCTGCCACCTTTGAGTCGTGTTCTGCCTGCGCGATTCGGATCTTGATACGGTCATCTGCCGGAATGTAGAGTCGGTTCTTATAGAAGAGTAGCCCGTCTTTCTCAGCAATATCCTTCATTTCCCCCAGCTTCTCTCCCTGCTCAATTCTCTCTTTCAATCCTACCTGTAACGGAGCCATTTCAACTGTCTGGTGTATGAGTACACACAGGGCCCGGTTACATGCTGAGAGTTATTGTTAGAAGCCAGTTACACGGTGATATGCAAGTACCGGCAGTGTGGTTAGCTACCAGCTGTTAGAGTAACTACATTCCGGGCGCTAGGAAGAGGATCTATTCATGGGAGCAATGACTGACGAGTCTATGCCTCGCCAGTGACTAGAAGACCGGCCAGAGTGAAGCTCTGATTGACCGGTGATCCTCTGTATCCTCGGTGCATTGTAAGTCCGCCGAAGGGCAGGGACTATGCTAGGGAAGTCTACAATAAGCGAAAGCTCTACAGCAATGATTAAGCTTACACCTGAGCGGCAGCTCATTCATGCAGGTCCTCAGTTGTGTGGCAACCAAGGCTGCAGGTGTTACAAAGGCTTTGACTAAGGGTGGTTGCCTTGGGTATCGGAAACACCTGCTGACGCTTAGAGAAAAGCGGGGTAGCGGTGGTATTGTTTCCGGTACTGAGGGAAGGCCCACCGGAACTTAGTAAAGGAGTTAGGAGCAGAGAACAGAGGCCTTCGGAGTATAAGTACTCAGGTTCATTCCCGCCCTTCAGTCCTATTCTCTCCAGTCTTCATCAGAAAGAAAAACCAAGTTCTTATCGGTAGCAGAGCCCTTAAAGATTATTGAGTTCTAGCGATAGTATCTTTGAATAATCTGCAACCTGATTGTCTATCTTGCACGGCCGTCTCTATTCTATTCGATTCTATTTCTCTTAGAAAGGACCCCCGTTACAGATAATCTTTAAGGCTCAAGTCACCTTCAGATTATTCTTCCTCTACACAAAATGTCCGCCCTATCAGCTCCGGAAGTGCCTCTTCAGATTGAATGGCAGCCGGTGCCCCTCCAGCTTGATGCCAACGGGCAGACACAGCTTGTCAAGAAGCCCAGGACCGCTCTACAGACCTACATCCCCGGTTGCGAGCCTGCTTGGCAGGATACCGACGAGATTTCCGTCCAGCAGTTCTTCACAGAGCTCCAGACCTACCTCCAGCACAGCCTGCAGAATCAGTTGACCCGGGGCAGTCAGGCCCTACTCCTTGTACAAGAGCGCCAGGCAGCACAGAATGCTCTGATGGCGGAAGCTCTTGAGTACATGAGAATGGAGGTCAACTCTGTTCAGGAAGAACTCCGGAAGTATGTGGAGAAAGATGAGCTCAATGCCGATGCCATGGAGATTGAGTGGACAAACCCGGCTACTCCACCGGACTTTGTGGCCGAGATACAGAGAGCCCTTGATGAAGGAAGACTGGTGGTGGCTAGGCCAGCAACTCCGGCACCAAATCTAGGCTCTAGGTCCTCGTCCAGGGCAGCTACCAGGACAATGCAGCGGAAGACCAGCCCCTTTGCAGCATTTCCGGTCCGATCCACTAGGAGAGTTATCCCTATTGTGCAGCCAGCGGTGGGGGCTTCACCCTTACCACCTAGCCGCTTCGGTGGAACACATCCACTTCTTGGAGGAGCCGACCGATCCTTTGACTATGAAGGAGAGTTCTTCTCAGGTGCAGGCAGGGTGTAACGGAGCCATTTCAACTGTCTGGTGTATGAGTACACACAGGGCCCGGTTACATGCTGAGAGTTATTGTTAGAAGCCAGTTGCACGGTGATATGCAAGTACCGGCAGTGTGGTTAGCTACCAGCTGTTAGAGTAACTACATTCCGGGCGCTAGGAAGGGGACCTATTCATGGGAGCAATGACTGACGAGTCTATGCCTCGCCAGTGACTAGAAGACCGGCCAGAGTGAAGCTCTGATTGCCCGGTGATCCTCTGTATCCTCCGAGCATTGTAAGTCCGCCGAAAGGCAGGAACTATGCTAGGGAAGTCTACAATAAGCGAAAGCTCTACAGCAATGATTAAGCTTACACCTGAGCGGTAGCTCATTCATGCAGGTCCTCGGTTGTGTGGCAACCAAGGCTGCAGGTGTTACAAAGGCTTTGACTAAGGGTGGTTGCCTTGGGTATCGGAAAACACCCGCTGACGCTTAGAGAAAAGCGGGGTAGCGGTGGTATTGTTTCCGGTACTGAGGAGAGGCCCACCGGAACTTAGTAAGGAGTTAGGAGCAGAGAATAGAGGCCTTCGGAGTATAAGTACTCAGGTTCATTCTCGCCCTTCAGTCCTATTCTCTCGAGTCTTCATCAGAAAGAAAAACAAAAGTTCTTATCGGTAGCAGAGCCCTTAAAGATTATTGAGTTCTAGCGATAGTATCTTTGAATAATCTGCAACCTGATTGTCTATCTTGCACGGCCGTCTCTATTCTATACAAATCTATTTCTCTTAGAAAGGACCCCCGTTACAGATAATCTTTAAGGCTCAAGTCACCTTCAGATTATTCTTCCTATATACAAAAATGTCCGCCCTCTCAGCTCCGGATGCGCCCCTGCAGATTGAATGGCAGCCGGTGCCCCTCCAGCTTGATGCCACTGGGCAGACACAGCTTGTCAAGAAGCCCAGGACCGCTTTACAGACCTACATCCCCGGTTGCGAGCCTGCTTGGCAGGATACCGACGAGATTTCCGTCCAGCAGTTCTTCACAGAGCTTCAGACCTACCTCCAGCACAGCCTGCAGAATCAGTTGACCCGGGGCAGTCAGGCCCTACTCATTGTACAAGAGCGCCAGGCAGCACAGAATGCTCTGATGGCGGAAGCTCTTGAGTACATGAGAATGGAGGTCAACTCTGTTCAGGAAGAACTCCGGAAGTATGTGGAGAAAGATGAGCTGAATGCCGATGCCATGGAGATTGAGTGGACAAACCCGGCTACTCCACCGGACTTTGTGGCCGAGATACAGAAAGCCCTTGATGAAGGAAGACTGGTGGTGGCCAGACCAGCAACTCCGGCACCAAATCCAGTCTCCAGGTCCTCTTCCAGAGCAGCTACCAGGACAATGCAGCGGAAGGCCAGCCCCTTTGCAGCATTTCCGGTCAGATCCACTAGGAGAGTTATTCCTATTGTGCAGCCAGCGGTGGGAGCTTCACCCTTACCACCTAGCCGCTTCGGTGGGGTACACCCACTCCTTGGAGGAACTGATCGATCCTTTGACTATGAAGGAGAGTTCTTCTCAGGTGCAGGCCGAGGACCTCCCAGTCCACTAGCCAGGAACCCGGGAAGGTTCACCATGTCTGGGGCCGCTCAACCAGCAGCAACCTCACCTTTGGCCAGCAATCCGGCACCAGTAGCACCTGTGGCCCCTCCTGCTGCGGCCGCCGCTCCCCCTCCAGCTCAGGCACAGGGAGGAAGTGGTGGAAATCAGAACCCTCCACCCCCAGCAGCCCGCGCTCCCGCTCCAGGAGATTCAGACAGTTCAGACTCGGAACCAGAAGGTGGTGATAGGAGAGGATGGCGGAGATATCTTAAGAAGAAGTTGGAGAAGCAACAGAAGGACTTGTTTGCTATTATGTCCCAGCAGTATCAACCTCCGGCCACCTCCCACCCTTCTACTTCCACTAGGGCCAGAGAACCAAAGGCACCACCACCTTCCAAATTCCAGGGCAAAGCGGAGCAAGTGGAGACCTTCATCCGGCAATGTGAGAATGTGTTCTCCATTGAGAGCCTGTCATTTACCTCTGAGGAGGTTAAGATCCGATATGCAGGCAACTTGATGGAAGGTGAGGCAGCGATCCGATGGTATGAGGCATACCACAATTCAATTGATCAAGCCTCTGCCAACCGTCTTGCTGGAATACCGGTGCAGTTGGATCAGAGATGGAAGCATTGGGATTCCTTTGTGGATGCTTTTAGAGCTGCCTTCGGTGAAGCCATCTCTAGAGATGATGCTGTAGCCCAATGGAATACCCTCACCCACACAGCTCGAGGAGGAATAGACCTCTTCCTGAATACTATCATTCAGCTGATGTGGAAGACTGGCTATGAGGGTCAGTTGGTGGATGATAAGATTCATAATTCCCTCCTCCCGGACCTAGGTATGAGTTGGGCTCTTTTTAATCCCAAGCCAAAGTCCTTGATGGAGCGGATAGCTGCTCTAAGAGAGTTAGGGCACACCCATGAGAGGTACCAAGGGATGGCAGCTGAGAAAGCGCACCCTCGGACCAAGAAAGATCCTCCCGCTCAGAAGGACCAGCAGCCTAAGAGGAAAAGAGAAGCTGCGAGCTCCTCTGGACCTCAGAAGACTCCTGGACCTAAGGACAAAGCGGTGGAACTGAAGGGTATCCCGGGGGATATTCTAGAAGAAAGAAGGAAAGCAGAAGTATGCTTGAAGGTATGACCTTCCGGTACTCCCTATTGGTAGAGTGCATAGACTGACTTGTGCAATAGTGCGGCAAGTCCAGACACAAATGGACCGATTGTTGGTCCAAGGAACCTACTGTTGTTCGAGTAGCAGCAGTGAGGGTACAAAAGCGGAAAAGAGGGAATGGCAAGTCCAACTCTCAGAAGAAGGCTAAAGTGGCTGCTGTAGTAGCAGAGGATCCACTTATTGTACTCCCGGAGGTTACGGAAGATTTTGTTTTGCAGCCTGAGCAAGACTCGGACAATGAAATCCTCTGGTAGAAAAGTGTCTGTTTGGGTCTATGTTTACTAGTTTTCTTTTATATGGGATTTGGGTTTCTATGTTTCTCTTGAATAAATTATGATTGTGTTTCCGCCTATTTGATTGCTCCAAGCACTCTGAGGATGGGTTTAAGACCCGAAACAGCTGGTCTGTCAGTGCTCTACCAAAGTTACATTTGCTACAAAGACACTTCCAAACCGCTACCAAAAAATTACCACACATCATACCCGCTATATTACCGCTTGGGAATAGAACCAAAGGATCTTTGATCTTAGTAGTGCCCGAAGCTATTAGCTATGCTGAAAAGACAAAGAGAAACGAGTCCAGAATCCGCTGTTAAGCAAAGAAGGTTGGAACAGAGGCTTCCCTCCTTACCAGTACATGGAAAAAGACCTATACTGAAGGCAGGACTGTCATGGACAGTCAAAGGAAAGGATGAAGGCGCCCAAGGGTCTTTCCTGTTTGACACCGGTTGTACAGGAGCAATCCTCAACCAGAGTTTTGTCAGGAAGCATGGAATTCCCTTAGTGCGGCGGGATCAACCTCTGACAATGTTTGATGCTCAAGGAGATGTCATGATGGGAGGAGGCGAGTATTACACTCACCCGGTCCGCATGATTATGGGAGATCATAAGGAGACACTCCGATGGGAAGTGGCTACTTTGGAAGAAGGAATGACCGGTTACCTGCCAATTAGTTGGGCTAGGAAGCATAACCCGGACATCAACTGGGAACTCAACACCATGAGCTGGAGAAGTGACTACTGTAAGCAGAATTGTCTCCCAGCGGCCACCAAGATTGAACTGATCTCTCCATACCAAATGTTGGAAGAAGAAGAGACAGTCTATCAATTGGTTGGTTCAGTATGGCATGATGAGGACGGAGGTGATATTGCTGAGAAAATACACCACCTATACCGGGATTGGGCTGATGTGTTCAGTCAAGAGAAGATTGAGGAAATGCCGCCGCATTCCCATAATGATTTAAAGATCAAACTCTTGCCTGGGACCGCTCCCCCATTTGGCCCACTGTACCCATGTTCCGCTCCAGAGTTGAAGGCCCTCCGAGAGTACCTGGACAAAGAATTGTCTTCAGGAAAGATCTCTAGATCTAATAGCCCTGCTGCGGCGCCCATACTGTTCATTCCTAAGAAGGATGGGACATTGCGAATTTGTGTGGACTACAGAGGATTGAACAAGGTCACTGTCAAGGACAAGTACCCGCTGCCTATCATGAGTGAGCTCAGAGACAGGTTGTTCAAGGCCAAGATCTTCACAAAGATAGACCTGAAGAACGGCTTCAATTTGATCAGGATAGCTGAAGGTGATGAGTGGAAAACCGCTTTCAGAACCCGCTATGGACTGTATCAGTATAATGTGATGCCATTTGGTCTATGCAATGCCCCCTCAGCCTTCCAGGCAATGATCAATGATGTGCTAAAGGAACTACTGGATGAAGGAGTGGTTGTCTACATCGACGACATCCTCATCTACTCGGAGACTGAGAAGGAGCATGAGCTACTGGTCAAGAAGGTATTACAGAAGCTTAGGGAAGCAAAACTCTGTGCTTCGATCAATAAGACATCCTTCCATGTCCGAGAAGTAGAATACCTAGGCTATCACATCTCGGAAGAAGGAGTATCTATGTCAGAAGACAAGGTGGAGGCAGTTAAGGAATGGCCGGTCCCTGAGAATATCAAGGCAGTACAAGCATTCCTCGGATTTGCAAACTTCTATCGCCGCTTTATTGAAGGCTTCAGTAAAGTCTGCAAACCATTAACTGACCTCCTGCAAAAAGACAAGAAATGGTATTGGACGGCAGCACATGAGCAGGCCTTTGAAGAACTCAAGAGGCTGTTCACAAGCGCTCCAATCCTCCTTCATTTTGACCCTAGTAGGAGAACGGTGGTCGAGACAGATGCCAGTGATTTTGCCAAGGGAGCGGTGCTCTCTCAGTATGGGGATGATGGGAAGCTACATCCGGTGGCATTCTATTCTAAGAAGTTCTCCCCCGCCGAGATCAACTACGACATTCATGATAAGGAAATGGGAGCTATTGTAGCCTCTTTCCGGGAATGGGAACACATGCTCAAATCTTGTGAGCAAGAGATCACGGTTTTCACAGACCACAAGAACTTGGAGTATTTTAATTCTACCAAGGTTCTCACTAGGCGGCAAGCTAGATGGTCCGAGGACCTAGCAGGCTATAATTTCAAAGTTGTCTACAGACCGGGAGAAAAGAATGGCAAGACTGATGTGCTATCTAGGCGCTGGGATCACCGCCTTGGAGAGGGAGGTGAAACTCTGCAGCCGGAGCCACAGATCTTTTTTAGGCCAGGTCAATTGGTTCTGGATCCTGCAAAGCTAGCGGCTGTCAGGGTGAATCAATTGCAGAATACATTCTTAGAGCGCCTATACACGGCTGCTAAAGAGGATAGTTTCTGGCAGGAATTGCACCGCTCTCTGGTTGAAAGGAAACCAAATTTGGACCAGAACTTGTCGGTCAAGAACGGTCTCATCTTCTACAAAAATAGATGGTATATACCCAAAGACAAGAAGCTTCAGATGGAAATACTGTCCGATACCCACGACTCTAAGGTGGCTGGTCATTTTGGCCAATTTAAGACACTAGAGCGGGTGAAAAACAACTTCTTTTGGCCCAACATGGATAAGGATGTTGAGGAATATGTCCGGAGCTGTGACAGCTGCCAGAGGAATAAGACCTCAAGACACAAGAAGTTTGGTATGCTCCAACCGTTGGAGATACCCTATCGGCCATGGACTTCCATCTCTATGGACTTCATTGTGGGATTACCGGAATCTAGTGGGTTTACAAAGATCTGGGTAATAGTGGACCGCTTTTCGAAAATGGCACACTACATCCCTCTTCCTACCCTCAATAAAACGGAAGATTTGGCTAAGTTGTTCTTGAAGGAAGTTTGGAGACTCCATGGTTTACCTGATGATATAGTCTCGGACAGAGATAGCAGGTTCATTTCTCACTTTTGGCAATCTCTCATGAGTCTCCTCAATGTGAAGCTGAAGATGTCCACATCTTTCCACCCACAAACGGACGGTCAAACAGAAAGAGTTAACCAGACCCTGGAACATTACTTGCGGAGTTATTGTTCATATCAACAGGATGACTGGGCAGAACTCTTGCCTTTGGCAGAGTATGCATATAACTCGGCGGTCTCTGAGTCTACCAAAGTATCGGCTTTCTATGCCAACTATGGATATGAACCCAGGACCAACTGGCCGGCCCCAAAGGAAGGAGTACAATGGAACAATCCAGCGAGCGAGGTCATGATATCTCAATGGGAATCTATCTGGCAGGCTATGAATGCCAGCTTGGGTAAAGCTAGATTAAGGATGGCCCGGTGGTATGATACTCATGCCCTGGCACCGCCTGAAATCAAGCCCGGAGATGAAGTTATGCTAGACCGGCGCAATGTGCAAACAAAGCGGCCTTTGGGAAAATTGGATCAGAAGAAGATGGGACCTTTTAAGGTCTTAGAAGCTATTGGTACCCGTGCCTACAAGCTCTCTCTTCCCCCCCAAATGGGAATCCACCCGGTCTTTCATGTCTCTCTTTTGGAACCTTACAGAGCACCGGTAGATCCTGAGAGAAGAGTTCCATTACCGGAACCTGAAGAGATTGAAGGAGAACAGAACTGGGTTGTCCGAGAGGTAGCTGATAGCCGGGTCAATAAGAAAAGGAGACTAGTGGAATACCTAGTGCTATGGGAAGGGTATGAAAACGAGGATGCTACATGGGAACCTTGGGAGCATCTCAAGAAGAGTGCTGAAGAAGCCCTTCTGGATTTCCATATGAGGTATCCTAAGAAACCCAGAGACAAGCGGATTGTTGGGGTGTAGTTTGTTTTCCTTCAGGTTTTCGTTCTTTGCATATCACGGAGTTTCTTGTCACATAGATTGGATGGTAATAGAATGGTTATAGATCTCGGAGACCAAGATCCTGGAAGAGGGGAGTGGTGTAACGGAGCCATTTCAACTGTCTGGTGTATGAGTACACACAGGGCCCGGTTACATGCTGAGAGTTATTGTTAGAAGCCAGTTGCATGGTGATATGCAAGTACCGGCAGTGTGGTTAGCTACCAGCTGTTAGAGTAACTACATTCCGGGCGCTAGGAAGGGGACCTATTCATGGGAGCAATGACTGACGAGTCTATGCCTCGCCAGTGACTAGAAGACCGGCCAGAGTGAAGCTCTGATTGCCCGGTGATCCTCTGTATCCTCCGAGCATTGTAAGTCCGCCGAAAGGCAGGAACTATGCTAGGGAAGTCTACAATAAGCGAAAGCTCTACAGCAATGATTAAGCTTACACCTGAGCGGTAGCTCATTCATGCAGGTCCTCGGTTGTGTGGCAACCAAGGCTGCAGGTGTTACAAAGGCTTTGACTAAGGGTGGTTGCCTTGGGTATCGGAAAACACCCGCTGACGCTTAGAGAAAAGCGGGGTAGCGGTGGTATTGTTTCCGGTACTGAGGAGAGGCCCACCGGAACTTAGTAAGGAGTTAGGAGCAGAGAATAGAGGCCTTCGGAGTATAAGTACTCAGGTTCATTCTCGCCCTTCAGTCCTATTCTCTCGAGTCTTCATCAGAAAGAAAAACAAAAGTTCTTATCGGTAGCAGAGCCCTTAAAGATTATTGAGTTCTAGCGATAGTATCTTTGAATAATCTGCAACCTGATTGTCTATCTTGCACGGCCGTCTCTATTCTATACAAATCTATTTCTCTTAGAAAGGACCCCCGTTACACAGAGGACCTCCTAGTCCGCTAGCCAGGAACCCAGGAAGGTTTACCATGTCTGGGGCTGCTCAACCAGCAGCAACCTCACCACTGGCCAGCAACCCGGCACCAGTAGCACCTGTGGCACCTCCTGCTGCGGCCGCCGCTCCCCCTCCAGCCAATGTACAGGGTGGAAGTGGTGGGAACCAGAACCCTCCGCCTCCCGCGGCCCGCGCTCCCGCTCCAGGAGACTCAGACAGTTCTGACAGTTCAGACTCGGAACCAGAAGGTGGTGATAGAAGAGGCTGGCGGAGATATCTTAAGAAGAAGTTGAAGAAGCAACAGAAGGATCTGTTTGCTATGATGTCCCAGCAGTACCAACCTCCGGCCACCCCTCACCCTTCTACTTCTACCAGGGCCCGAGAGCCAAAGGCACCACCCCCCTCCAAGTTCCAAGGCAAAGCGGAGCAAGTGGAGACCTTCATCCGGCAATGCGAGAATGTGTTCTCCATTGAGAGCCTGTCCTTTACCTCTGAGGAGGTTAAGATCCGATATGCAGGCAACTTGATGGAAGGAGAGGCAGCGATCCGATGGTATGAGGCATACCACAACTCAATTGATCAAGCCTCCGCCAACCGCCTTGCTGGAATACCGGTGACTTTGGATCTGAGATGGAAGCGCTGGGATTCCTTTGTGGATGCTTTTAGAGCAGCCTTCGGTGAAGCCATCTCTAGAGATGATGCTGTAGCCCAATGGAATACTCTTACCCACACCGGAAAAGGAGGAATAGACCTCTTCCTGAATACCATTATTCAGCTGATGTGGAAGACTGGCTATGAGGGTCAGTTGGTGGATGACAAGATCAACAATTCCCTCCTTGCGGACCTAGGCATGAGTTGGGCTCTTTTTAATCCCAAGCCAAAGTCCTTGATGGAGCGGATAGCTGCTCTAAGAGAGTTAGGGCACACCCATGAGAGGTACCAAGGGATGGCAGCTGAGAAAGCGCCCCCTCGGACCAAGAAGGATCCTCCCGCTCAGAAGGACCAGCAGCCTAAGAGGAAAAGAGAAGCTGCGAGCTCCTCCGGACCTCAGAAGACTCCAGGACCTAAAGACAAAGCGGTGGAACTGAAGGGTATCCCGGGGGATATTCTAGAAGAAAGAAGGAAAGCAGAAGTATGCTTGAAGGTATGACCTTCCGGTACTCCCTATTGGTAGAGTGCATAGACTGACTTGTGCAATAGTGCGGCAAGTCCAGACACAAATGGACCGATTGTTGGTCCAAGGAACCTACTGTTGTCCGAGTGGCAGCAGTGAGAGTACAAAAGCGGAAAAGAGGGAATGGCAAGTCCAACTCTCAGAAGAAGGCTAAAGTGGCTGCTGTAGTAGCAGAAGATCCACTTGTTGTACTCCCGGAGGTTACAGAAGATTTTGTTTTTCAGCCTGAACAAGACTCGGACAATGAAATCATCTGGTAGAAAAAGTGTCTGTTTTAGTCTATGTTTACTAGTTTTCTTTTATATGGGTTTTTGGGTTTCTATGCTTTTCTTGAATAAATTATGATTGTGTTTCCGCCTATTTGATTGCTCCAAGCACTCTGAGGATGGGTTTAAGACCCGAAACAGCTGGTCTGTCAGTGCTCTACCAAAGTTATATTTGCTACAAGACACTTCCAAACCGCTACCAAAAAATTACCACACATCATACCTTCTATATTACCGCTTGGGAATAGAACCAAAGGATCTTTTGATCTTAGTAGTGCCCGAAGCTATTAGCTATGTTGAAAAGACAAAGAGAAACAAGTCCAGAATCCGCTGTTAAGCAAAGAAAGTTGGAACAGAGGCTTCCTTCTTTACCAGTACATGGAAAAAGACCTATACTGAAGGCAGGACTGTCATGGACGGTCAAAGGAAAGGATGAAGGCGCCCAAGGGTCTTTCCTGTTTGACACCGGTTGTACAGGAGCTATCCTCAACCAGAGTTTTGTCAGAAAACATGGAATTCCCTTAGTGAGGCGGGATCAACCTCTGACAATGTTTGATGCTCAAGGAGATATCATGATGGGAGGAGGCGAGTATTACACTCACCCGGTCCGCATGACTATGGGAGATCATAAGGAGACACTCCGATGGGAGGTGGCTACACTGGAAGAAGGAATGACCGGTTACCTGCCAATTAGTTGGGCTAGGAAGCATAACCCGGACATCAATTGGGAACTCAACACCATGAGCTGGAGGAGTGACTACTGCAAGCAGAATTGTCTCCCAGCGGCCACCAAGATTGAACTGATCTCTCCATACCAAATGTTGGAAGAAGAAGAGACAGTCTATCAATTGGTCGGTTCAGTATGGCATGATGAGGACGGAGGTGATATTGCTGAGAAAGTACATCACCTATACCGGGATTGGGCTGATGTGTTCAGTCAAGAGAAGATTGAGGAAATGCCGCCGCATTCCTATAATGATCTGAAGATCAAACTCTTGCCTGGGACCGCTCCCCCATTTGGCCCGCTATACCCATGCTCCGCTCCAGAGTTGAAGGCCCTCCGAGAGTACCTGGACAAAGAGTTGTCTTCAGGAAAGATCTCTAGATCGAATAGCCCTGCTGCGGCACCCATACTGTTCATTCCTAAGAAGGACGGGACTTTGCGGATTTGTGTGGATTATAGAGGTTTGAACAAGGTCACTGTCAAGGACAAGTACCCGCTGCCTATCATGAGTGAGCTCAGAGACAGGTTGTTCAAGGCCAAGATCTTCACAAAGATAGACCTGAAGAATGGCTTCAATTTGATCAGGATAGCCGAAGGTGATGAGTGGAAAACCGCTTTCAGAACCCGCTATGGACTGTATCAGTACAATGTGATGCCATTTGGCCTATGCAATGCTCCCTCCGCTTTCCAGGCAATGATCAATGATGTGCTAAAGGAACTACTGGATGAAGGAGTAGTTGTCTATATCGATGACATCCTCATCTACTCGGAGACTGAGAAAGAGCATGAGCTATTGGTCAAGAAGGTACTACAGAAGCTTAGGGAAGCTAAGCTCTGTGCCTCGATCAATAAGACATCCTTCCATGTCCGAGAAGTAGAATACCTAGGCTATCATATCTCGGAACAAGGAGTATCTATGTCAGAAGACAAGGTGGAGGCAGTTAAGGAATGGCCGGTCCCTGAAAATATCAAGGCAGTACAGGCATTCCTCGGATTTGCAAACTTCTATCGCCGTTTTATTGAAGGCTTCAGTAAAGTTTGCAAACCATTAACTGACCTCCTGCAAAAAGACAAGAAATGGTATTGGACGGCAGCACATGAGCAGGCCTTTGAAGAACTCAAGAGGCTGTTCACAAGCGCTCCAATCCTCCTTCATTTTGACCCTAGTAGGAGAACGGTGGTCGAGACAGATGCCAGTGATTTTGCCAAGGGAGCGGTGCTCTCTCAGTATGGGGATGATGGGAAGCTACATCCGGTGGCATTCTATTCCAAGAAGTTCTCCCCTGCTGAGATCAACTATGACATTCATGATAAGGAAATGGGAGCTATCGTAGCCTCTTTCCGAGAATGGGAACACATGCTCAAATCTTGTGAGCAAGAGATCACGGTTTTTACAGACCACAAGAACTTGGAGTACTTTAATTCTACCAAGGTTCTCACTAGGCGGCAAGCTAGATGGTCTGAAGACCTCGCAGGCTACAATTTCAAAGTTGTCTACAGACCGGGAGAAAAGAATGGCAAGACTGATGTGCTATCTAGGCGCTGGGATCACCGCCTTGGAGAGGGAGGTGAAACTCTGCAGCCGGAGCCACAGGTCTTTTTTAGGCCAGGTCAATTGGTTTTGGATCCTGCAAAGCTAGCGGCTGTCAGGGTGAATCAATTGCAGAATACATTCTTAGAGCGCCTATACACGGCTGCTAAAGAGGATAGTTTCTGGCAGGAATTGCACCGCTCCCTGGTTGAAAGGAAACCAAATTTGGACCAGAACTTGTCGGTCAAGAACGGTCTTATCTTCTACAAGAATAGATGGTATATACCCAAAGACAAGAAGCTTCAGATGGAAATACTGTCCGATACCCATGACTCTAAGGTGGCTGGCCACTTTGGCCAATTTAAGACACTTGAGCGGGTGAAAAACAACTTCTTTTGGCCCAACATGGATAAGGATGTTGAGGAATATGTCCGGAGCTGTGACAGCTGCCAGAGGAATAAGACCTCAAGACACAAGAAGTTTGGTATGCTCCAACCGTTGGAGATACCCTATCGGCCATGGACTTCCATCTCTATGGACTTCATTATGGGACTACCGGAATCTAGTGGGTTTACAAAGATCTGGGTAATAGTGGACCGCTTTTCGAAGATGGCACACTACATCCCTCTTCCTACCCTCAATAAAACGGAAGATTTGGCTAAATTGTTCTTGAAGGAAGTTTGGAGACTCCATGGTTTACCTGATGACATAGTCTCGGACAGAGATAGCAGGTTCATCTCTCACTTTTGGCAATCTCTCATGAACCTCCTCAATGTGAAGCTGAAGATGTCCACATCTTTCCACCCACAAACGGACGGTCAAACAGAAAGAGTTAATCAGACCCTGGAACATTACTTGCGGAGTTATTGTTCATATCAACAGGATGACTGGGCAGAACTCTTGCCTTTGGCAGAGTATGCTTATAACTCGGCGGTCTCTGAGTCTACCAAAGTATCGGCTTTCTATGCCAACTATGGATATGAACCCAGGACCAACTGGCCGGCCCCAAAGGAAGGAGTAGAATGGAACAATCCAGCAAGTGAGGTCATGATATCTCAATGGGAATCTATCTGGCAGGCTATGAACGCCAGCTTGGGTAAAGCTAGATTAAGGATGGCCCGGTGGTATGATGCTCATGCCCTGGCACCGCCTGAAATCAAGCCCGGAGATGAAGTTATGTTGGACCGGCGCAATGTGCAAACAAAGCGGCCTTTGGGAAAATTGGATCAGAAGAAGATGGGACCCTTTAAGGTCTTAGAAGCTATTGGTACCCGTGCCTACAAGCTCTCTCTTCCCCCCCAAATGGGAATCCACCCGGTCTTTCATGTCTCTCTTCTGGAACCTTACCGAGCACCGGTAGATCCTGAGAGAAGAGTTCCTGTACCGGAGCCAGAAGAGATTGAAGGAGAACAGAACTGGGTTGTCCGAGAAGTAGCTGACAGCCGGGTCAATAAGAAAAGGAGACGAGTGGAATACCTAGTGCTGTGGGAAGGATATGAAAACGAGGATGCTACATGGGAACCTTGGGAGCATCTCAAGAAGAGTGCTGAAGAAGCCCTTCGGGATTTCCATATGAGGTATCCTAAGAAACCCAAGGACAAGCGGATTGTTGGGGTGTAGATTATTTCCTTTGGGTTTTCATTTCCTTGCATATCACGGAGTTTCTTGTCATATAGAATGGTAATAGAATGGTTATAGATCTCGGAGACCAAGATCCTGGAAGAGGGGAGTGGTGTAACGGAGCCATTTCAACTGTCTGGTGTATGAGTACACACAGGGCCCGGTTACATGCTGAGAGTTATTGTTAGAAGCCAGTTGCACGGTGATATGCAAGTACCGGCAGTGTGGTTAGCTACCAGCTGTTAGAGTAACTACATTCCGGGCGCTAGGAAGAGGATCTATTCATGGGAGCAATGACTGACGAGTCTATGCCTCGCCAGTGACTAGAAGACCGGCCAGAGTGAAGCTCTGATTGACCGGTGATCCTCTGTATCCTCGGTGCATTGTAAGTCCGCCGAAGGGCAGGGACTATGCTAGGGAAGTCTACAATAAGCGAAAGCTCTACAGCAATGATTAAGCTTACACCTGAGCGGCAGCTCATTCATGCAGGTCCTCAGTTGTGTGGCAACCAAGGCTGCAGGTGTTACAAAGGCTTTGACTAAGGGTGGTTGCCTTGGGTATCGGAAACACCTGCTGACGCTTAGAGAAAAGCGGGGTAGCGGTGGTATTGTTTCCGGTACTGAGGGAAGGCCCACCGGAACTTAGTAAAGGAGTTAGGAGCAGAGAACAGAGGCCTTCGGAGTATAAGTACTCAGGTTCATTCCCGCCCTTCAGTCCTATTCTCTCCAGTCTTCATCAGAAAGAAAAACCAAGTTCTTATCGGTAGCAGAGCCCTTAAAGATTATTGAGTTCTAGCGATAGTATCTTTGAATAATCTGCAACCTGATTG